AGAAAAAATTCTTTGAACACTAACAATGGGTTGGGTACTACCCACTGTTCTAACAGAAAAAGAGAAGGAAGTTTTCAGAGATTAAAACTTGTCTTTGTAAAATTCAGACAGTGTATAAGAAAGAGTTGTCTGTATTGAAAGTGCCTTTCATAGGAACAAGTAACAACTTCTTTTTTTTCCTAAATGTCATAAAATTTACTCTTTAGGCCCTCATACTACTTGTTAACATGCCTATGGAAAGACCAATGTTTATATTTCAAAAAACTCTAAACAAACTTTTCTTTCTTCACAATAACCCTCTGGGTTCTATTCAATAATCACTCTTATGAATAGGACACTGAGGTTCAGAAATTCAACATAATGGAGGAAAAATTATTTCTGGTCTTGGGTGGCAGCCACTACATTATTTTTCCATATGCTCATTCCCACATTCAAAACACACTTTGTGCTACTACCATGTGACAGGAAAAATTTTTTTTTGGAAAAATTTTTTTTTAAGTATAAAATCTCACATTAGGTATACCAAAGAGAAAGTTTCTGAAAGTACGAGTATCCAGAACATAATGACAATGCTTTGTTACTGGAGAAACAAATGACACCGTATTCAAGCTTTTCATTCTGCCAACTTTTTTATTAAAACAAACAGTGTGTGGAAATTAACCTAATACACAATAAAATGAGGAGCTCCATGTTTTGAATCAAGACTTCCGGGAAGTACAATTGAAAAGGCAAACTATAATTTTCTGGAGGGGTTTTAGAGGGACACCAATCCTAGGCACAAAACATCCTAGCTCAAAGTTTCCACCTACCCACCCCCAATAAAGCCCCAAAAGAATCAAGGCCAGTAACTATTTGAAATCCTAAATGTCATTGCCTCCAAACCTACTTGAAATTTCACATTTCAAAACTTATGATCTTCAGGAAAAAGAAATTATAAGCAAAAGGCCTCTGTCATCTTATGATAATGTTTCAAAAGTTGAATAGGAAAAAAATCTTACTACTTTTCCTTCTTATTTACTTTCATGACCTTTCGACCCAAACCTATGAAATACATATAGCCATGCCAGGGTTAATTACTATTTTAACACAGAAAGAAAAAGAGACCTTGGACCAAAACATTTGTATTTTCTTCTCCTTCCCTTTAACATTCAGTCTCACGTGCTGAGTTAGGTGAAAACATTTTCTTGCAAGTCTTTGGAAAAGGAAGGTAATCATTAATAGAAAGGGGCAGAGATAAATTCCAATCACACATATGTCATAGTCCTCTGAACAATAAGAAATGTATACCTACGCATGGTTCAGGCGTAGTGTATATACTAAATAACCAATGACAACAGAAAATCATACTCACATAAACCTGGGGGTGTATAATATTTGTTCTGCTGCTTGGGCTGCCAATCTAAGAAAGATTCCAAAAGTCAGAGTCAGCACAGACCTAAGACAATAACAGCATTATGACATTTAATGACAATGTAATTGCTTGAAAGGGTGGTGTGTGTAAACACTTTCAGGTAAAGTTTGGTCTACTACGAAGATAAAACATCTTTCTCTTGGAAGACATCAAAATAACAATATTCATTTTACAACCATTCAATGTATGCAAAATTTCTCCAGAATGTATCAATACAAATGAAAGGTACAGGGCAGGGGAAGGTTCATTGTCCTTCAATTCCCAAGCATGAATGTAGGCAGAAAAGTCACACTGAAAAAAAAGTTCTAGTTTTTTCTAAGGAACTTGGGGGCACCAGAGAGCAACAGTGAAAATGAACACTTGTAGAACACTGTTATCCAAGAATATGTTTCATGAAGAAAGCAAGCAGGAGGAAAGCTACACATCTCTGCAAATCTGCCCTTTCCAGCTCATTGCTGGCTACCGAAAAACGAGTGCAGTCATACTATGAAGAATGAGTGAGCACTGGGCCAGGACACCAGCCTCTATCTGCACTCCCAGTTGGGGATGCTACCTGCATCACTCCCCAGGCTGGCCCTCCAACCCCTAAGACTATCAGCTGGGGTAAAAATAGGGCAAAGGTGTATGAGAATATGTGTGATCGGAAAATAAACAACAGTGGACATCCATCTTTGCACCACAGAGAAGGACTTGGAGACACAGAGCTAAAAGGATCAAGGAGCAGCATTATAAGAAATGTAAAAAGTTAGTGGATAAAGGAAGCATAACAATACGTGAAATAAAGCCAATACTCAGGTCTTGCAGAGTGGTAAACTGTCAGTCAAGCCAGCTGAGCATGAAACAGATCTGTGCAGGTGGGGTAATGTGTTATTGTCAATTTTAAGTCTTATTTTTCCTACTGAAATTAACCATTGATTGCCTGGCTTATCTACACATTGACTGATTGCCAATGCCTATGACTGACTGATTGCCAATGCCTATGACTGACCCAATATAATCTTAAGTCTTCTTCCTAGAACCAGGGGAAAAAAAAAGAACAAGAAAATTTCACAAGAGCAAGGTCATTACAGCCTTAACCATCTGACTGCTTGGCTTTAAGGGAATGTGGCTGTGGCACAATTTTACCATTAAACACCTATTCTACAGCCACACACCGTAGAGGAAGATGAATTTTTATCTGGTGCTGCATATCGGAAAAAGATGCCGACTTTATCCACAGACACTGGGCTCACTTGCTCCCAGCCATTAACTCTCACTTGCAGTTGATGAATTCGGAGGTCGTGGGTATGTCTGTCAGGCAGAACACAGAAAAAATTATTAAGCACAATTTCAAGAAAGGAGGAAAAGTAGAAGCAGAGACTCAAATCTGATTCACTATATGATGGCATAAAAACCCAGTTGGCTAAGCCTTTTGAGGGTTATCTAATGCAAGGGAAATCAAGAGAATAGGTTAACTGGGTTTTATGCTCACAACACAAATTGCAAGATCTGTAAAGCTTTAGCAAGAGTGGCATTTACCCTCCCATTGTACAAACCACGCAGATCTTGTACACCATCCCACCCCAACCTTTATAAATATGGACATCAGCTAAAATCATTTCAATGGGGTGGTAAAAAATGTAATAGCAATTTAATCATATAACCATACTGTTGAACATGCATAAAAATATCTCTTCTTGGTTCCTTTGTACACCATCCCACCCCAACCTTTATAAATATGGACATCAGCTAAAATCATTTCAATGGGGTGGTAAAAAATGTACTAGCAATTTAATCATATAACCATACTGTTGAACATGCATAAAAATATCTCTTCTTGGTTCCTCTGTTGAACATCCTACTTCTCTGAGAACCACGTTCAGTTGTTTGGCTTCAGCTGTAGCCCTACGTGACTGCAGACGTGTTGTACAAGACCGAGCCCTTGGGTTTTAGGGCTGAAGTGCTTGGCTGAAATTGGAGCAGAAGGCAGTGGGCAGAACAGGAGGAACGGGAGGAAATTGCACATTTAATTCTATTTTAGATTTTGCCTAATTCAAGCCAGAAGCCTGAAATGAGGAACTGGATTTGAGGCTGACAGGAAAGGGGGAGGGAGGCATGGAGTGGGGTACAGTGTGCCAAAGGGGGGAAAAGCCAGAAAAGGCATTTATTTTGATGAATTCAAGCAGAACAGGGAGACTTGAAATGGGTTTCAAAACATGAAAACTAAACGGAAATGACAAAGAGGTCAAACCCTTTTTGGTACAACAGAAGCAGTGCTTATTAAGAAATGCTACCAGCAATTCTGTAGTTAGCTTCCTCAAGCACTGTGTGGAAGGACAGGAAAATGCTCACCACTTGGCCCTGAAGGTGGCTTCCAGATACACATGCCCAGCATAGTGATTTAAAAACAATTTTTTTTTACATGTAAAGCCCTGGAGACCAACACATTCAAAACTCTTGCCACTCAGCAGCAACACGTGCAGGTACAAAGCTATACAAAAAGTGCTTGACTTAGGAGCAGGTTTGTACACGAAGACTTAAAGCACCATGAAAGCACATGCTACAGAAGGCTGAAGCCAATCTCTTCAATTTCAGCTTAGCTTGAAAACAAATATGAGGCTCAAGTACTAAATCTTAACTATTCATATCCACTGGTCAGATCTTCCATTTAAAAATATTTGCAAATAACGGGACACATTGATAGATATTTTCATAATCTCTCTGTAACCAAATAAAACCTTTTTTACCACATTTATTACAGTCCTTTGGCTGGCGCTTCAAGAGTATATCAACTACCAGTCTTCCTAACCTTTTCAGAATTGGTATTTTTGTATCACTTCTGCTTCTATCAGGTTCTGCTTCCTGAAACTATCCACTTGCTAAAAGTGCTTTGTGGCACACATGTATAATAAAATTGAAATCAACATGCTATGAGAGTCTTTTAAAAATACCATGTCACCATTGCATCATGAAAACCAGGTCAGGAAGCAATGAACTTGAGTATCATGATCTGTCTATGTTTTGACCAAATTATGTGAAACATACAGGTTATCACCTCACATGTAAGACAATTAATGGAAAGAACCAAGACAGTCTATATTTTTAAAAGAAAACAATGATTTTCACAATATCTTTTAAAATTAAAACATTAAAATCATCAATAAGGAAAGTGAAAAAACAAAACACTAGGAACAGTCATTTACATCCATGTTTTATTTTTTAAGGAAAAGAATAAATCATACGTTACCTGTGTCTTAACTTTCCTCTTGCTTCAAATTCAAAAGGAATCTCTTCACCCGTGAGAACTTCTCGCCATTCACTAACATTGTGAGCATCATCAAGAAATGTTCCATTCCCTTCCGGAACCACCACTGGACTCCCACTGTGAGACAGTGCAGCCCTGGAACCAAATCAGACGATACCAGCTTGTCCCTGTTTTTCCCCAACTCCCTCTCATAAGAGCTCTGTGCTGAGGAGCAGAAAGCCTCCTGGAACCGACCTCACAGCAATAAGGCAGCATAACCTGACTACAAAGGACGACCTAAAAGGTCAGTAAGTACAGTTATCTTCATGCTCAATCACAACTTATATGAAATTTTAGAAAAAGCTGAAATCTGTCATGATATAGCCACTTAGCTCCAGCAGTAAAGTCTGGTACTTGTAAACTAAGGCACGACTTTTTAAAGTAGCATTTAAGCAAGCAAAAAAACCTCTTCTAGAGCATCATCATACTTAGTGGAGGCAGTGAACTGCAGTTTCAAATCAACTGATTCTATTACTATTTTCATGTACTTCATTACCTAAGCTGGAAAGAACACCATGTATTTAGAACATTGAGCCAAGATCCAAACAGGCAGAAAGTGGTTAGAAATAGTTCTCACTTGGCTTAGGTAAACTCTCGTTTGTTCTACAAAGTCCACCCAATTCCATCTCAGTTGAAGTGTGTTTTAGGCATGGAAAATAATTCTTTTGGGTTGGGAGTGGATAGGGAACATTCGCAAAGCAGTCTTAGAAGAAAAATGGAAAACTTTTACCTTAATAACCATATACAGCTTCTTTAAAAAGGGGGAGGGAAATAGAGATTGAGGAGAAGAGATGGAAAGACTTTCTTTCATACTTCCTACTCACATCATTAATTTGCTTGACTTTTACTGTAAACACAATGTATACCAGAACAAGATTAGATTGAGACTCAAGACCTACTTCTCTGACTATAGATTCTACACAGAACCATAATTTATGTCATAAATCTCAGCAAGACAGCAAGTTATTGATTCAAATATCATCCCAAGAGCCTCAAGAAAGAGCCCAACTTGATCTGCTGGACTGGCATGAAGACACTTTGGTGGCAGAGATGGCTCAGGGTAGCAGATTGAGTGCTCCTTACCTGGTGGGCGTGGTGGTCAGGGTGGCAAACCACAAAGTGCATCCGGTGTGATTCCTCAGAGCAAAGGGGACAAATGGCTGCCGGCGCTTGGGGGTTTTCACCTCTGCTATGACAAACAGAAGAAGGCTATTAGCAGACACCTCTATCTGGGTGGCAGAGACCCTCCCCACACCTGGAGACAGGGCCCAGAGGCAAAGGGGCTGAAGGTGGAGGTATGAGAGAGGAACTACCGCAGGGTTGTTGACAGGACAAATGGAAGCTCTGCAAGATATATCATGTACTTATTTATTTAAACTTTGTCCAAAAAGCCTTTACTTTAACAAAGCCTCCCTTTATATAAAAGTTACCCTTCAGTCATATTATATGTTACAGCAAACTTTAAACATTCTTTCCTATTCTCTTATACTAAGTTATTTTTTCTCCCTGAAAAATCACAGATATACTATCCCAAAGCATTTTAAATGAAATTTTTAGCTCATTTTTTTCAACATAGATACCACTACCTGCTACAAGGTGGGTACTATGAAGGCTATAAAAGGAGCAATAAAATATGGTTTCGTTTCACAAAAGAGCTTCTAATTAGAAAAACTGAAAAAAAAACAAGATCAACACAAAACTATAAGTAACCAAATTCTAGACAGAGTCGACCTGCCTATAAATATTTTAAGGAAGTGGAAGAAGGCTTTCTGGCACGCGGGCTGCCTTGCAGTCCCCTCTGAGGGCACCACTGCCCATGCTGTGAGGTTTGGCGTGGGACAGAGTGCTGAGAGGAGGGGCATGAGCTCCTCTGACCAAGGGCCTATGTCTCCTCCACTGGCCAGATAAACAAAGAGGGCGGTGGCAGCAGGAACCAAAAGGTGGCAGCAATCCAAGGCAGGGAAGCCTCCTGGCTGACATGCTCACAGCACATGCACACTACCAACAAGACAGGGTGCAGCCCAATCTTACGTGTCCCACTTTAAAGCACGAAGACAGCCTGAGAAAGACCGTGACCCAAATGGTCTGTGGCTATGGAGAAAACGACATCTAGAGGAGACTGCAAACACTGACTGCAGAAAGTACTATAGCAAAACTCAGTTCATCCTAAAAGACCACATGTTTCCTGCTAACAAAATTGAGAAAACTGCAACATGCCCTGCTGCTTTCTCCCACCTCCTGAATAAGGCATGGGGCAATATCCTAACAGTCAGTAATTATCACTGCCTTTTAAAAAGCTATCACTTTCTTTTTTCCCTTTGTATCTTTTAAAGTTTTCAGAAGTTGGTACTATAAACCAAGAAACAAGCAATTTCAGGTGAAGGCAAGTTCTATTTTGGTAACAACAATAGCTCAGGGGAGTCTAAGATACAGTAATCTGCTAAATAAATGAGCAGTTTCCAGTGTGTTCCCACAATGCTATGGTCAGTCATTTAGAGACACCCCAAATACTTCTAAAGATAATCTCCACCTAGGAATATGCCCATTTCTTGCTCCGATGGCCTCACTTAATTCCCAAGGTTTGTTTTAAAAAAAAAAAAAGTGTTCATGAAGTAGAAAATTAAGGAGTAGCTGTGAGGCTGCTGACAAGAGCAGAGGGGGAGTAAAAAATTTAAGAGCTGTCTGCAGGGTAAATAGTATTTATCGTGGCACTTTGAAAGGCACCTCCCTCTCCATGAGTGCTATGACAGAGCTGCTTTTATTGCAGTAGATAAAGGACCCAGGAGGAAAAGGAGCCAGATGTGCTTTCATATCCCACTGTGAGCCAGACTGTAAGTTTCCATTTGCAAATTAGATTAAAATAGAACAGGTGGCAGATGGCTTTGATCACTTTGTAATACAGAATCAAGTGCTAGGAATCCATACAAAGATATTCACCGGTACATTGCTTTGGAATTAAAGAGTATGGGTAGGCACTGTGCTCAGGTCCCCAAGTTTCCTGTGTTGAATAGACATAGCACAGACTTCAGTAATAACCCACTCCTCTGAGAACAAAAATTCATGGAGTGCACACAAATTCAAATCCAACATAAGGGAACAAATCTGACATCTTCTGAACTAGGGTCCAAATAAACTGCATATTTGCCTTTGGCAAAGCACCAGAGAAAAATTCCCAAGTCCATCAAAGAGAACATTATTCCCTGGTAGCCTCAGAAAATCTGTCTCTAGTGACCAAACCCAATTTCTTCACAAGCTGAAAGAACCTAAAGCTTTTCTCACATCCAAGTTCAGCGTCAAATGGCTCCAGCTAAGGAAATTTCTACCCTTTTGGACTTGTTTCACAGAGTAATTTGGCCATTTATAAACAGTATAGGTTTTCATGGGATATCAGCAGCTCAGTCTATCAGAAAGGACCTGGTTTGTAAATCCTAAGAAACAGACTGAAGTCTCAGGTCTGCTACTAGGTAGTCATGTGAATGGAGGCAAACTACATAATTGCCCATCAGCAGCTCAGTCTATCAGAAAGGACCTGGTTTGTAAATCCTAAGAAACAGATTGAAGTCTCAGGTCTGCTACTAGGTAGTCATGTGAATGGAGGCAAACTACATAATTGCCCATAGCCTCACCATCTTCATCAGCTAGAGAGGAATAATGCTTGGCTTAGCCTGAAAGATTAAATAACATGTAGAAAAGCTTCGAAGTATAAATCCATGAATTAATGAAGATTCAACTGTGGGCTTTCTTTGTTGGCCCTCCTTCAAACATCCATCCCAGTAAAACCATCAAGAAAAAAAAAACACATAGCAATGCCCCTGTGTATTAGTATTCCTGTTCTGCATTCCTGGTAGAAGAAGCTCAAATGGCCTTTTTTTATAAAATATATCATGACCCACGATCTGAAATCAGCAGTGTACAAAAATAAGCCATTCGAATAAAATCACACTCCTTAAAACAAAGAAATGAAAACCTTGGAAGTCCAGTTCTTCTCTGTTTATGGTGTTCACCACCACATTCACTTACCAGTCAAATTCTCATGGAACCTTAAAGGGTCAGACATAGAAATACAGAACATTTTCTTTTCTATCTGGTAAGCACATAAATTAATATTTAAAGAAATTAAGGTTTGTCTCTAAGTGATTATTTACTGGGAAGTTTTTTCTTAGCTCTATTCTTATCATAATAGCTCCTACTCCATAGAGCCCCTCGCATTTCCATGAGAACAAATGTTCACTGAGTATTCTATAAACAAAGAGTCGTAGCACAGCACGATGGAGGATGGTGTTTCTCCAGCCACCTGCTTTTCAATATGAAAAATCACTTCTAATTGACATTGGATATGTCTGCCTCTTACACTGTGGATTTTATTCCATCCACTTCCACCAAAGGTTAAGGGAGATGCAAGAGAGACAATATAAGAATCAGCACATCACTTACTTCTGATATAAAGTGCCACTCTGTTCATTAGTTGGAAATGTTCTTTCCTGTTAATTAAGCAAAGTACTCACAACTGAGTATACCCCCCCGTCAGCTCCCATTCACAAAAAAATCGATGTACAAGGCAGTTCTTAAAACAGGAAAATAAAGCAAGCCCTCGCTTGGCTATACTGTACCTCTAGCATAGATCTGGTGCTCTAGATTAGTCAGACTGGCTGTACTCCTAGTTCTAAGGTAGACAAGGGGAAGGCCTGGTAGACAGGAGAGACAAAGTTAGAGGGTAAGAATAAATACAGTGAATAAGAAGACTCACTTCTAAACAAAAAGCACAGATTGAGAACATGATAAAAATAGCAAGCATCGTGCAATTATAGGATCATTCAATGATTACTAAGAGCTAAGAATGTACTAGACAAAGTGAGAACACATTTTTTATGTTAGGTTTATTGTAAAAGCTGGGTCAAAGTAGCATGCTTTCCCCACCTCCAGAACTGAGGGGGAAAAAAATGCATTGAACATTCTCTTGAACAGAATAACAAGCTTTTGGAGGATTTTTAATTTAAATTAAAAATTTGTTCTTAAATGGCATAGAAAAGTTACAAAAGCCAAGCAGTACAGATTTCGGTGTAGGTTGCTCCATTCCAATTGGGAAATGTAGTAGCAGTAGAATGCTAGTCCCAAGGGGGTTCAAAAATTCACAGGAAGAGTCAGTCTGTGTTCCAAATTTAAACAATCTCTACTAAGGAGTTATTTCATAGTATTGTTTAAATTCTACATTAAGCATGGAAGTTTTGAGAATATTTATACTTGATATTTTCATTAAATGCCCTTGGAATACGAACCTAATAAATTCAATGAAGTGCCAGGCTATCCAGGTTTACCCTGCAGCATCTCAGCCCTTACTGAACAAAGCCAACAATTATGTCAAAATGAGGCTAAGATTTTCTTTCCCCTGCTAAAGAAACAGTGAGAAATCAGCAGTTCCCTTAGGCTGAATTTCGTATTAAGGGCTATTTCAAGGGCTCATTTTAAGGATGGCCTGAATAAAAAGCACAACTTTTGGAGGAATATAACTAAACATTCTTGAATAAAATCTGAAAGTTTGTGATCAGTTCAACAAGATTAAAACCTACTGACTTTCAAAACAAATGTCCAACCATCAGTTTAGTAGGCCTATTAAAAGTATACAATCCCAGGGCCGGCCCGGTGGCGCACTGCTACAGTGCGCCGCTTGGGAGCGCGGTGGCGCTCCCACTGAGGGTTCGGATCCCACATGCAGACCGGCCGCTCACTGGCTGAGCGGGGTGCGGGCGCAACACCAAAGGTTGCGATCCCGTTGCCGGTCCCGGTCCGGTACGGGCACGACACTGAGGGTTGCGATCCGTTGCCGGTCACGAAAAAAGACAAAAAGGAAAAAAAAAAAATTTTTTTTTCCCAACAAATAAATCAACTTTAATAGATATTATTTTGTATTTATATAGTGCCTTCTTCAAGAACCTTACGTGCTTTATAGACATTATCTCTAATTAATTCCCACAGCAAACTTGTTAGGTAGGTATTACTCCCATTTTACAAAACAGGGAGATTTAAGCACAAAGAGGTTAAGTGACTTGCCCAAGTTCACACAGTTAAATTCATTGAAGAGCCAGGACCTGAGTCCCTTAGCCTCCCATCTGCCAGCCAAATATGCCACAAGACAATCTTTAATGAAAAGAATCTTTAAAGAAAGTATCAACAGTAATATGTTATGAAAATAAGGTTTTCTGACTGCCATCAATGAAAGAAACTCTATACTGATGGTTAGAGGCCACAAGAAAAACAGTTTTTCTTTTTATTCTGCATAAGTGTCCTTAAACTCAAGAACCGTTTAGTTTATCTTTGATGACTGCTTCTCTTGCATTTGTTTCTCTCTTTTAGAAGCAAACTTCTGAAAATAATTTACTGCAAGAGGTTATCTGTCATTCTCATTGGTATATAAATGACATAGCTTCTAAGAAAGAGAAGCATAAATTTAGGAGAGAACATGCAAAGGAACAGGATCAAATGAAAAGATGAATTGCAAGAAAACTTCAGTGCAGTTAGCAAAATTAATCTCCACATTGGAAGCAATAAACTGGAATTGACACCACAGAAAGTCAAATCATTAGTGCCGAGGTTAACATTTACGTAATTGCCCAGAATGCAGAGGAAGAGAATGAGTTTTGATTTTAAATGCAAACATATGACTATTATGGACCACAGAAGAGAAAGACAATGTGTAGGAACTTATAGCACATGCAGACCACTTTTTTTTTTTTCTTTCTCCTGAGGCTCATCTCAGCCTCAGAGCTGGCCTCTGACAACCTCTCCAGGCTTTGACAGTTCACCCTTGCTTTTTGCACTTCATTACTTCTCTGTTCATATAGCTGTTTCTTGTCAGTATGTTTTCATTCTAGCTCCTGCTTTCTAGCTCCTCTTTTGTGGACTCTCTTACTCAACTTGTAAGGCTTAGTTCACATGAAGCCTTCTTTAGAAAGCCATTGTCCTCTGTCCTGTACCTTAACCTGATAATTCTTAACCAGGATAATATTACTCTCAGGAAACATTTGGTAGTGCCTGGAGACATTTATGATTGCCACAACTTGGGGGGTTGCTATATTGGCTTCTAGGTGGTAGAGGTCAGGGATGTTGCTACATATCCTACAATGTACAGGACAGCCCTGCACAACCAGGAATTACCTGGTCCAAAATGTCAGTAGTGCTGAGATTGAGAAACCCTACCTTCACTGTTAGTAATCCTGTCCTCCTCAGCTTTCAAATTTAGTGCTGTCATGGATACAAGAGAAACAGAAGATGGTCATCAGAAATACTAACAAGAAGAAAAAATAAAGAAATACCAACAAGAACCCTTTTGAGGTAAGCTTTGTTTACTGTAGCTTTTCAAAAAACTACCGCAAACTTTAATCTTCCAGATTAACAGATTATGTGAGAAACAACATAGAAGCCAAAATAATACAGTTCAGAAGGATCATCAGGTCAATTTACTACTGTATAGGTGATTTATTATCCAGGCAAATTAATGAATAAAAATCTGATCACTTAAAAGCAATGCTTTTAAATTTGGGGGATCAAAAAACTTATGGTCCCATTTCACTACACATTCTCTCCACCTTACTCTGACATGGGTAGGACAGTGAATATCCTAACAGCCTCAATCCAAAACACACACTGATGAAAGTTCACAATTTGCAACGTTATGTGTTTTCACTCAAAGATAACTACAGTATTGCCAAAATCAGATCATTTAGATCAATAAATCAAACAGTAAATGTGAGTTTTCAAAGTGAAGGTACATACCACATGATTGCATTATGATAATGTTACTCTTCTTTTACATGACAGAAATACAAGGATAGAGTGGTTCTCATTCACTACATCAAATCCAGGAATGTACACTGCAGTATTGCCAAAGAAACTTTCAGCACACCATTAGCTTGGCAACCCTTTAAGCAGGTCATTTCAGAGTTAGGTCAACATGATACTTGATGGGAAACAGCACAGGCAACTTATTCTGCTATAAAGACAAGGTCAAAATCATACCTTTTAAAAAGTATTCTGTGAATAGCCTGAGAAAAGTGAGTCTGAATTCACTCCTGGGACATTTAATAAACCCCAATGATCAAGCATTATGAGGAGAAAATTCATCATGGCCATTTATGTTTCCCAAATAGGCTAAGCTCTTGAATGATCACTGATAGTATTAATATAGAATGCCAACTCCAGAGAAATGGGTTGAGAAGAATCATGAGGCCAGATTAGGTTTTATGAGAAAAGGAGCCATGATGAATAAGTGATGCCTGGCACAGGCCCAGGTATTTGCTAAACTAGGATTAATAGCCTTCTATACTAAGACTTCACGTACAGAAAGGTACCAATCTAGTGAAGACAACTTTCCACCCACCAATTAGTACAGAAGTGATATTGATATCCAAGCGGGGTTTGGCCTTGGCTTCCAGCTTCAGTCGAGGAGGATGGAGACGACTAGCTGCCTGTTGTTGCCAGGATACAGAGCATGGCCATGGCTCAATAAATGGCTCCCAGCCTAAAAGAACACAGGAAATAAGACATCTGTTCGGCAGACATCAAGAATTTATAGGGGAACACTGCTCACAAATGCTCAGCAAGGACAAACTAGAGCTTAATAGCTTTCTATTTCCAATTCAATTTCACAACAAAATGATGTTTTGTGCTGCCCAAAGGATATGAGTGGAAAAGAATATATTTACCCCACCATGGTCTTTGAGAGATGGCAGGAAGAAGAGCAGGGAGCATACATGCCCTCTTCCATGAAAAAGCAGGCAAGGCCTGTTCCTGAGCAACTCAAGATGAAAAAAGGAGTTTCAGATTCAGTTTGGAAAACTAACACAGTGGCTAAAATAATTATTAAATCTGATTCTCCTGCTTACATGAACAATAGGTACATTTGGAGGCTCATTAACTTTTTCAAATACTTTTATCTGAAAATATGTCATTGGTATAAAAGGTATGTAAAACATATATGTACAGTTTATAGAATAATAATACCACACCCATGTACCCACTATTCATCTTAAGAACTATAAAACTACAAGTTCCTTTGAAGCCCTTAAGTGCCAGTCCCTCAACTCATTCCCCTCCTTCCCACCAATCCTCTCCCACCCAACTCCAGGTAAAAACTAGCTTGAATTTTTAATCATTTCCTTGCTCTTTTTTATAATTTTGCCATACATGCATGCATTTCTTAAGAACATATTGATTAGTTTGTCCTATTTGTGATTTTCACATAAATGGAATCCTGTACATATTTTTTTCCAAGTTTCTATTTTTGCTCAACAATATGTCTTTGAGCATATTATTGGATTGTATTGATGCAGGCAGCTGTGGTGATACATTTGTTTTTGGCACTGAATAGTAACCCACTAATGAATATACAATTTGTTTAGCCATTCTACTTCTGGAAGATTTTCACTTGATTCCAGTTTTATTGCTATTAGGAAGAGTACTACTACCACAAGAAGTCTTGTATACCTTTACTAGTACTCATAGGCAAGATAATCTCAAAGATATAGACCTAGAAGCACTGTATTGCTGGGTTGTTGAGTAATGCTTATACTCTACTAGGTCATGCCAAATTATTTTTCAAAATGGTTGTACCAATTTACATGTCTAAAAGCAGGAACTATGGCTCATATCTTCACCAATACTTAGTAGTGTCACACTTAGTTTTTGCTAATCTGTTGGGTGTGAAAAATGGTATCTCACTGTGATTTGAAAGATTCAACTTTTCAAGCCCAGTTAATTTTTAACAGACTTTTAAATATACTCACTCAATCAGCCATAGAGCAAATCCAATCCAATATGTAACACAGAGTAGGTGCATTAGTATACCATTTGGCATTTAGTGACCTAAACATATTTGTACAACTTTAAAAGTAAGCAACAATATTCAGCCTGGGAAAATAAATTCTTCTCAGAAAAACGGCTACCTTATACCCTGTAAGTTTCCCTCAACTAGGAAAATGGCCCATTAAACAATGAGGAAATAAGAGTGTTACCTTTAAGTGAATCCAAAACAGAGGGAAAATGCTAACTAACATAAAATTAAATGTGATATGTGCTCTAGATCAGCAGCAGCACAGCAAATTAAGGCTTGATTTTTAATTGAAATCAACGGGAGCAATCACCAGTAGGCTTAAGCCCTGGACTGCATAGCACTACTTTGCTTAACCTGTCCACACCTGCTAGCAATTCTGATAAGAACATCCTTAAACTCTCTTCAAGGCAAAGAAGTTCACAGCTCAAATCACTTGGTCCTAATATGAAGGGACCTGAATAAATTCATGGAAAGATTCTTACTATCTTTCGATTCTATTTTTCCACAAACTTTTTGAAGTACCCTCATATATGCTGGCTTCTGAATTTCAATATGTGTTGTCCCTTACCCTGGTCTTTTCAATGGGAGGAAAGAAGCCTGAAAATGCTTGCAATATGAGTATTATCCAGGCTTTATGTCTCCATAAACAGCTTGCTCTGACTGTAGAGAAAGTGAAGGAAAATGGTCAGGGCCCCTCAGATGTTCAGAATCTTGCCAAGCATTTGATGTAAATACACACGTGCGCCCAGCTGTCCTGGATTATGGATTTAAGTATAAGGACAAGTGGCTCTGACCTGTGGCCCCCCGGCCCCAGGATGCTCCAGGGAGGATACGGGGAGACTGCTGCCGCCACTGCCACCAGATCTGTAAGTTGCCACTGCTGAGAATGCTGAGGACTGAGCTCCTGTCATCTGTCAATGGCTCCTGGGATCTTTCCCAATTACCTAGCATGGACCTGCGTGTGAGGTGTCTGATGACCCAGCCAAGCATGTGAGGGGTTTGTGACCCAGTCTATACAATGGATTTGAAGGGTCTGTGGGTCCTAACCCCTAGCCCTGATAATACAAATGGAAAACTTAGTGTAACTAAAATAATGAAACATTTTGGCTCTAGCTATGAATTGTCTGTAGCCCTACAAATCACGTAGTCACCTAGCCAGACAATTAGCATAGCAATACAATTACCTGTAGCAATACACTAACCAACTGTGTTTTGCTTTAGGGAGCAGGCAGGGCAGAATATACATTATCACTGACTAAGTACACATCTAATGAAACAAGTCCAGTGGGGAGTGAGGAGACTAGAGGTTTAAATGCTTATGGACATAAATATTCCTTGAAGTTTAGTATCAGAGCCAAACAAATGATCCTTCATTATTGAGCAATGTCATGATCTGGAATGAGCTAAACCCCAGGATCAAAAAGAATTAACCATGAAAACTTGAGAAAAAATAATTCAGCAACAACACAGACACATTTTTAGAAAAATAGAAAATCTACATCTTCTGTGCTTATGTAGTCACTTGCTTTTAATCTTTCTATGTCCCGCCCCACCCTGCCCTTGGCCTTTCTCTCATGTAAAATTTATGTAGCAATGGGTCTGGGCAAACATTAAATTCTTTTTTTTCCTTTTTGTCTTTTTTACTGACCGGTAACGGGATCGCAACCCTCGGTGTTGCGCCCGTACCGGGGACCGGCAACGGGATCACAACCCTCGGTGCTGCGCCCGCACCGCACTCAGCCAGTGAGCGGGAACTGGTCTCCACATGGGATCCGAACCCTCGGTGGGAGCGCCACCGCGCTCCCAAGCGGCGCACTCTCCAGTGCGCCACCGGGCCGGCCCTAAAATTTATTTTTAAATCCCATGATAACATATGCTTTATACTAACCTGACAAAGCACGGTTATAATAATCTCCAGAAAGGGTGAAGTGAGCATAGCCTTCAGGGCTAGTTCTTACATGCTGAAGAAAATTCAGACCTGCAATGAAAGCAAATGTTACTGCAGAGACAGGGCAGGAGTTACCAAAACTGACTTTTGCAGACAAATCACATTAAAGAGATGTTAGCCACAGCTAATACTGATGGATCTCACAGTACTGAGAGTACTAATGAACAGCACACAAAATCTTGATATTGTTCATCATGTATTTTTTTGCATCAATTTTGATTTTTAAAAGTATTGCATTAAAATATTTATCTTGATTACTGAGTTTTTTGGCACCCCCTTAATGTTGTGCCTAAGGCAAGCTCCTCACTTGCCTCCCCACCAGTCCCATCCCTGGCACCCAGCTGCATGAGCGCCTGTGGGAACACACACAAAAGTATTTCTACCTGAACAAATGGAAAGAAGGCAGAGTGATAACAGCAATCATGTCCTGATAAATACTAGCTTGAAATTTTAAGATTACCATAAAAAAATAAGAAATCAAATTACTCTCTGAAGAAAAGATATTCATGAAAACAGTCAAAATTCCAGGTGTTACTTTTAATCAAGTGGCCCTGGCAGTGCCTAGAAGCACAGGTATAAGGATAACCTGTATGATGTGCAAAAGGTCAGATTAAAGCCCCAGAACTAAACTTTACCTGAAGGGAGATGAGGCTGGCAACATGGAAATAGTGAAAAGTTAGAGGTAAACGCAGCAGGGAGGTTTTCATTCACTCTCCTCAGAAGCCTCATTCTAACATTGCTTGCAATGATGCACCTAAGGAGAGAGTACTCCTATCCTGCTACCAGTTCTACTAAAGGACAGCTCACATACGAACAGTGTTTCACCTCTCACACGGCCCTATGGAGGAGACTCAGAGGTGAGCTTTCTAGTAAGATCCTGGTTTTTATTTTTTTACTTTTAAGACATAGAGTAGAAGCTTATCTTTTAGATGCCTTTAGTAAGACTATTCATGACAATCTTTAGATATATAAAAAGAAGCAAAATGGAGAGATCAAAAATTAAAGCTGTTAATATAATGAAAACTTTATCAATGACAATTTCTGTTATTCTCAAGCTATAGGCCGAAGGCCACATATAGCAAAAAAACACAAATTTCTTTAAAAAACACATAATGAAATATGTAAAGTGATCATCTAAATTTCGTCCACACTTCTAAGTACAGGAGAGCATGAAAAACGTTTAAAAACACAGGTCCCAAATAATTCAGCAATCACTGAAAATATTCAAGATGAAAATCAGGACAATACTCACGGGAAAAGGTGAGCTCAGCGAGAGGAACATCACAATCCATGCAGTCGTCGATAAAACAGATGCACACACTCTCAGCTTTGATCTCCATTCCAGAGATCAGCGGTGCTGGCATAGCCCCCAGGCTATCTCGGCTGTTAGAGGCCAGGGAAAGAGACTTCAGAGGTTCCGCATTCTTAAACAACCAACTTGCTGCCTTTTTCAATTGGCCTTCAAAGAAATTAAAAGGTGATGAGCTCCACCAATTTCCACAGCTACACTTGCAACTCATAGCAGAAATAGAGAAAGTTTTATAGGAACCTCCTGGGCAGCCCAAGAGAGCCTTGATCCCAGAAGTATTCTTACTTTAAAACGGGCCAGCCCATGGCTCACTTGGGAGAGTGTGGTGCTGATAACACTAAGGCCATGGGTTCGGATCCCTACATAGGGGCGGCTGGTTAGCTCACTGGGTGAGCATGGTGCTGACAACACCAAGTCAAGGGTTTAGATCCCCTTATCAGTCATCTTATAGAGGGATTATAAAAAAAAGAGAGAGAGAGAGACAGAAACTAGCATAACAATAGGAATTCCGCTTTTAAGCAAATGCAATAAGGCCTTCTTCATTGCACACCTTCCACTCAAGTTTACCACACCTTTCAAGATCTGGCTCAAAACACTTCCAGGAAGCCATCCCTCCTTTACTATGACATCTGTTGAAGGAGGGAGAGAACAGGACAGGAGAAGATCCAAATTCTAGGTGCCACCGGGTACTTAAATACTTAATTTTCACTATATAGTTTTGCATATATCAATGTGCATTTTTGTATTTATTCTCAGTGTCTTACTTTGTGTATAACTTATATTCTTAACCAATCACAAATTCCTTGAGAACAGAGAGCAACAGGAGAATTGCATGTGTGTAATACAGAACTGTTAAATAACAGCCGCCTGAATATAACCAGATTGCTGAAGTCCCCTGACCCCCCCCCCTCCACCCAAAAGAAAGCAAAGCAGAGGAACGCAACTAGCAGAGGCTAGTGCCTGGAACAGCATGAGTGGTCAAGGGCACGGGCCCTAGAGCAAGATGGCCCAGCTCCAGATCCTGGTTCTGCACATACTAGTTACTGGATCTTGGGCAAGCTGGTTGATCTTTCTGTGCCCTACAGTACCCACTTCAAAGACTGATATGAGGTGGAAATAAAAGAGTACATGTGAAGATCTGAGAGCACAGCCTCGCATGTAGTAACGGCTTTATAAACATTGGTTGCTATAATCTTTATTACTGATGAAATTATGCTTTAGTTAGTAAAAATTTTTAATTAGAAACAAAAACTAACAAAGAAATCCAAAAGACTCTTAGAACTTTTTAAAAATGTGCTTGAATTGTTAAAGAAAGAGTAAAAAACATAGGAAAAGTAAACATTAAGGCATATAAAGTTAACTAAACCAAAAAGAAATGATGACTGGGTAAAAATAAAACTTAGAAACACAAGGAACTAGGTCCACCTTCATTTTTTCCAGAAAGACAAAGGTAATAGTTAATGTAAACAGTTATATGGCAAGAAGAGCATTTTCACACATAATTGTCAGAGTGTAACCTGGGTGCAATATTTTTAGAAAAAGATTTGTTAATTTGAAGAAAGAGCCTGAAAAATTTTTGGTCCAGTATTTAAAATACTAGTTCTTTCTACCAACGAAATACTTAAGAGATGCAGACAAAAGTTCACACCAAAAAATGTTTATTACAGAACTGTGTATAATATTGAAAGAATGGAAAGCAAGTGAAGAATGGTTAAATAAATTATAATATATTCTCAGAGTCAATGTGAAAAAAAAAATCAGTGTTTACAAATAATCTTAATGACATGGGAAGATGCTGCTGACATAATATTAAGTACATCATAATAAAATTATAATTATAATTCAATAAAATTTTACAAAAAGGCTATAAAATTGTATTTGCAATACAATCTGTCAATATGTAAAATATTACGTTTATATGTATAGATATACACAGTACAAAGAGAAATAGAAAGAGTATGCAGGAAAGTGTAAAGACTGCTGTATTTCTCTTTTTTAAGAGAAAGAGGAATAGAGAGGGAGGTGGGAAGACTGTGATGCAGTGAAGTGACTCTGGAGTCAGGCAGACCTGGTAAGCCCACTGCAGGCCATTATTGATAAGTAACCTCACACAAGTTTACTTAACCTATCAGAGCCAGTTTTCTCATCAGAAGTGGGGATAATCATGCCTGTCTCCAAGGGTTATCAGGATTCAACAAGAAAACACAGAGACAGGTGTACAGGAGATCAATACATGGTCATAATTAACAGTATCATTACCATTAGCACTTCCACTAGTAACACCAGCTAACATTTACAGAACACTTACTGTGTGCCAGGCACTTTCTAAATGCTTTGCATAGAATAACTTAATTGCATGGAACCTCTGAGGGAGGGCTTCTTATCCTCATTTTACAGATAAGGAAGCACTGGTACAGAGAAGCTAAGCAATTTATCCCAAGTCTCTTATAAGTAGCTACTAAGTGGCAGAGTAAGGATCTGAACCCAGGCAGTCAACTCCAGAGTCCTTATTTTTGTTTTGTTTTGTTTTTTTTCTCTTTTTTTTTCCCTTCAATTCTTTCTTTCCTTTTTTTTTTTTTTTGTTTTGTTTTGTTTTGTTTATTTGGTATCTCTTAAGCCTCTTTTACAAACCCTTGTGTCAAGGGCTCTCACTAGACAGCAGCGAGGGAGCTGCTCTGCTACTTAAGAAACCCCAAGCAGAAGCAGGTCGTCTAGGATTGATTTAGCACCAGGTTCCCCACAAATGTGCCTTGCATGACAGGCGAGGGGGTGGCCCCCTCTCCGGCTGCTCCCCTTTTCCCAGGATGAGGGTCTCTCTGCACCAGACCCCAGGAGCACATGGCAGGGTGCACCGGTGGGGGACTGGGCAACCTGAGCCAACAGAGGCTCCAAGGCCAACTGAGGCTCTGAATCATTCTGCCTGGGCAGGATTCTGATTTAGAGGCATTTAGGCATAATCCCACAGATGGCAGCAGAGCCCCTACTCTTACCCACTATAAATACTGCCGCTTGTTATTATTATTGGCCCAAGATTATATTTAGCTCACAGAAGACACATGAAGGGTCTTCTAAATGTACTCCAGCTCCCTAAGTCTCCTTGTGGGAACATGGGAGGCAATGGGATGGAAGCATATCATCCAGACAAACAGCAGATAATGGAAGCCTCATTCGAGTTACCTTGACACACCAAAAGGGCTTTGCGACAATCATCCATGCTGAATCCCAGCTCCTGTAGCCTCGCCAGTTGTAACTCTATGAAAAACATAGTATATGATTTTTATAAATAATTTAATGTAAATTAATCCAGACTAATTAAAGAAAAAAAAAAAAGAAAGAAATTCAGAAACTGATGACTAAAACACTTCCTTTCTCTAGGCATAAATGGGCTCCTAATTTGAGACTTCTAATGTACCCTGAACATTTTAAGAATCTTTTCTTTATATTGGCTGTATTTTTTAAAGCTTTTTTTTTTTTTTTTTGTCTTTTTCCGTGTCCGG